GACAGGAGGCCCTCGAGCTCCTAGGCTCGGCTCGGGCGGACCGAGCTCCGCCGTTCGTCCGCGCGGCGGGCGGAGAGCTGACGAAGCTGGGAGTCCGAAGATCGGATGGGACGCAAGCGCGTGAAAGAATGGACAGTGAAGAGTTGAGGGATCGCCGTGGTGCACCATTGCTTTAGCTGAAGCCACGAGCGCCATGGCATGATTTTTTCAGGCCACGCCACGGTGGATCACATCACCTCGCACAGTAAATCACCGGCTGACCCAGTGGCCGGCCGCCGGCAGGTCGCAGCTTCGTGCTGAAGACCTTGGGCTTTGTGGGGCGTCGCTTTGAAGGTCTCGTGCAGGAGCCGTGGCAGTGCCGGGCCGTGTGGCGCCCGTGAGTTCACCGCCCGGGTAGACGAACGGTGAAATGGGCTGGCAAGTTGTGGATATATGTGTATGGTTGGATGGGCTTAGCCTCAAGTCTTAGATGCTTGGGCCATCCTGGGTGGCTGGGTTGCTTAGTAAGTCTGCGTGAGCGGTGGGGTTGTAGCATGTAGAAGCTACTCAGGGAGCTGGCCTGCCCAAAAGTGCTCATCCAGCGGTCAACCAGTTACGTACCCTCCTTCCAAAGACCCCTGCAAGCAGGACCAAAACGACGTCCCCCTACCAAGGGATGTCAGACGTCTCCAACCTCCACCCCGGACTCGGGCGCCACCATCGGACCGTCTGTTCCAGGAGTCGGTGTCAGAAGTCGGAGGCGGGTGGTCTACCCCAGTGACGGGTCCGCCGTGTGTCCGGGCGAGATAAGGGCCGTGAGAACCAGGAGACTGAAGACCACTGGTACAAACCTCACCTTAACGTAACACCTATCGTTTTTTTCAACGTTTTTGCCCTCCCGAAAGGATCGCATGAGAAGTGGGCTTTGAGCTGGCAAAGTGAAGGACAGATTTCAACTAAAAGGCTGGGGGAGCCATGATAGAATCATGGAACCAAAGGTGATGCAAGGTGTGTGGTGAAGAGACGGTGTTGTGCGTGTGATAGGATCATGGAAACCAAGGGAATGCCAAACGCCCCACCGAGTGAGGGGGGTGTAGGGAGGCGAGGAAGGGTAGGCCCCCTGCGCTTCGCAAAGGCTCCCACCAAAGAATGGGTGTTCTCACAAGATTATTCAAGTATAGGCTGTTGATCATAACACCTCCCTATATGAAGATGTGATCCAGATATCAGGGGGGACTGTTCTTCATCCACAGTTTCCCTGGCCTTCCGTTCGACCATTTAGATTATCGTTGACCTGGTTTTATGTAGTGCAAAATCCCAGGTAAAAGCGATGGTTGCCCTGTTGGCCCGGAATTCGAACCCTTTCAATTCATGGTGGGCGACCAGACTCCTAAGTAGGTCTACCCGCCTCGCTTAAGACGCTGCCTCCGCTGCCTCCGCGCAGGCGATGAGGTCTTTGTGCCCCGGCGGCATCAGTCGGATGTCGAGATCGGGAAGTTCGGGGCGGCCAGCGAAGGCCTTGAAGAATTGATTGAAAGTTCCTACAAGCGAAGGCACCAATTAGGTCTCTCCTAGAGTCCTAGAGGATTCAAACCATTGCAGGTGGTGATGCAGGGGGTGATGCATCTGTCAAGCATCAGATTTCTCTATTCCAGGAGTGTAGATGGGGTACATATATTTGAGTGGGTTCCGGGTAGTAGTTGTCATCACGTTCATCCATAATCTTCAACAAGAGGGCCTCACCTAACCCTCCCAGAAACGCCAGAGTCGTCTCGCAACGATTGAGAGCCCATGAAAACAGCTCTGCCCTCACCTGGGTCTTGTCGGACACCAAGTTACGGAACTGAAGCCGCTGCGATGTGTTGGAGCCGCATGACCCCCCGTGCCCCGCATGTCCCGCACCACGTGCTACGCCTTCGGAGCGTCGCGCCGGTCGCACCGGTCGACGATGCGTCCAACTCAAGCACGGCCGGTCGCGGTCACAGGTCCAGAACACAGATCCCAACAAAACGGTGAGGGCGACCTCTCGTTGCCACCCAGAAACCACCCAGAACTCAAAACTCAGAAACGAATCCCCAAACTCTCTCTCTCTCTCTCGTTCGTGCGAGGCGATCGAGTGTGATGAGCTGGAGCGAGTGGTGCGGGACGGTACGGTGGCCGTACCTCTCAGTGAGTCGCCCCTTGAAGAGGTAGGGCAGGTAGGGGCAGGTGGGGAAGGGCACCGTGCTTGGTGGGGACTGGTCCGAAGCAGTTGGCCAAGGCAGGTTCGCCCCCTCCTCATGATGAATGCGCATGATGTGGAGTGGAGATGGGCCCATCTTTTGGGTTGAAGCATCGACACAGATCATCAGAGAGCAGGCTCAGCTGAGACCCCATTTTCTTTTTTTACAAGCTCTTGCAAGGTGGATCTGGGTGCCTTTGTCATCCGCTGACTTGTTCCCCAAGCACCGTCCACTTCCTTTTTTCCTTCCTATCTGTTCCACCCACTTCACCTCCAACAGCCACCACCTTCAGCAAGAAGCTGCGAAGCCAGCCGCGAACCGGTGGCCCCTTGTTCTGACCGGTCTCCCTCCGCCGTGGTCGCGGCTTATCCGCCCGAGGAAGGAGTTGGATCTGAAGGTGAAGGTGGGGCAGTGCGTCTCCTTCCGCTTAACCTTGCTGGAGGATCTCCCCACGGCCGTTTTTCGGTGGAAAACGAAGGGAGGGAGGGGAAGACACATGGCACGCGACACGCCAGGGGAGCGGAGAAAAGGATCGGAAAGGAGGGAGGAGGAAGTGAAGGGGGGGATGGTATTATGAAGTGAAGGGAGGGTGGTTGCAGGAGGAGTTTGGTTGTCTAACAATTTCTTCAGGTGCGTATATGATTTTTGGATGAAAGATCAATCATGTCACCACGCATTGATAATGTGTAGATTCCACGTATCACGCAATATATATATATATATTGGGATGGATCAAAGACTTAGGTGCTTGGAAGCACTGGAAGCACTGGAAGCACTCTGCCGGTGATGGACACAGCCACTGTCTCAACAGGATTGCTGACCCACACTCCAACGTGGAATATTCTTTGGTGAAACTTCATTTCCAAGGAATCCGTATTCCATCATATTCCACTGGCACCTTGGTTTCAATGACCGCTTCACGATGCTCCACACCACTAGTCACTAGTGGTCACGAGGGGTCTCAGTCTCCATGTGAATCCTACTGACTTTCACCACCTCTCATGGCTTTGGCTCCGCCCTGCATCGCCCTCCCGATTCTGATGGTCCCACCCCCCGGTCACGACCTTTGGACCCAGGATCCCCGGTCTCGGTCGCGGCCGCGCTCGGCTTCGCCGCGGTCGGCTTCGACCCAGGCAGACCTGGAGCTGGCGGCCTGGCGGCCACCCATGACGAGGTGCCGCTTCGAAGCGCGCGGGGCGGGGCGGGGCGGGGCGGGGTTCGGCGCGCTTTCGGGGTGGTTCGGCGCTTTGGGTGTGAGGTGTTGGCGTCGCGACGTGAGGTGTTGGGATGCTTGGAATGGGCGTGGAATCTGGAATGGACCTGTACTGAAGAAGTCTGAAGAAAGAGGTTCGAGACTCACCGAATTGACTCTAGGTTCCAGGAGGGAGTTGATCATCACTATCTCCGCTGCTTGGATGGACCTACCTTTTCTCAGAACCCCTGAGACCCACCAAAGAAGAAAACAGAAGGGAACACGTCAGCTTTGAGGGCAACCTCCAATGTTTTGGCATTTGTTTTCCCCCCTGATCCACTCTCCACGTGCAAAAGTAGAACCCGTCCGAGACGAGGACGGGAGGGTCCGGACTCGCCAGGCCGCCTGCGCCGCATGCTCCAGCAACCTGGCAGATGGGACCGGAGGACAGGAGCAGACCGGTGCTTTTCAGGCAGCCCCTCTTTGGATCAGCAGATTTGATGTCCATGCTTGGATCCAGGGTCATGTGTGGTTTCCAGCTGTTGCAGGCGCTGGATGGGATTGTAACGAAAAGCAAATTTAAGAGAGAGTTCTGGATGAGATCGTTGGTTTACTGGTCTGTCCGAAGATGAAGTCTTTTGCTGGCCATCTTGGATCTTCCAACTGCCAGTGGAGGATTTAGGTTCAGAACACAGGTTGACCAGGTTGACCTTGACTTCAGGATTCCGGAAATGCCCCCACCCTCCTTTAGCGGGTCTTCATGTTCTTTGCTTTGGAAGGTACCTTTTTTCCTCAATTTCTAGGCAGCTGCTGGGCTCAAACAGCAGGCCATTGCCTCAGCACCTCCGACCTCCCGCCGAAATCCATCCATTCCGCCCATCTTTCTCCCCGAGGACCGAGCGCCGGTGATCGAGATGAGAGTGGACGAGATGGGGCGACGGTACTTCTGGAACCACAGCGATGCCACGTCCTCTTGGATGCCTGGCCGAAGACGAAGCAACTGGAGTAACTGGGATGCCTGGTGTTTTGGGAGAGGGAAGAGATGGTGTGTTCAAGACACAACTGCGAGCAGGTTCTTTTGGGACATCTTGAGATTTTCAATATACGTCTATAGCCAGTAGCTTAACAGATGGTGAGAGAGAAACCAATGTCAGATTGCGGAGGATTGTGCACATACTCGCCATGTCTCCGGCTCAGTCCAAGAATTTCTGCGACAAAACTGTGAGAAAAAAGATGACCAAACCGCTGAAGGACAGAGAAGTGAAGGTCGAAAAGCCACAGGTCGGGCTCCTTTTTGACCTCGGAACAGACATCTCTACAAGACATGAAGCGACCCTTTGTTTTTAAACGTTTTTAAAGAAGTTTGAACCACTTTCCCAAGGCCTCGGCAGCTCGGTGACCGTTTGGACTCGGTATGGACTCGGTATAAAACCAACCCAGCTAGCTCGGGACGTCCGGGCCTTGCTGACTTGAGTCCAGACGTCTTAAGAAGTGAAGTGCAGTCTTTGGTGCATACAGTGCATTTTCAGTAATCTACTCTTGGAATTCTTTCAGTCTTCAGCTGCGATGCTATAATTCACTCTCCCTCCTCTCACTCGCATGAAGCCATGCTGGAGATGATGGAGATCAACGTTTGCTTGCCCAGTGGTTGCTCAATCGCTCTGTCAGTGCCATCCAATGCCACGGTCAGAGAGCTAAAAAAGGCCGCCAAAGAGTTTGTTGGAGGCCCCTTCTTCCAGATCATCACCTCCCATCGACGGCGCCTCGAGCCGGCCGAAGCTCTTCTGGACACGCTTCGCAGTGGAGAGACCGTCACCGTGGTGCGTCAAGCGCCGCAGTTGGCCGCCAGCTGTGCGGCCTTCGCCGTGTGGTATGCGGGCAGTGGTGTAGTCACTTGGGGTGACTCACGCCGGGGAGGCGACAGCAGCGGTGTCCGACATCAGCTGAAGAATGTCCAAGATATTCAAGCTTCCGAAGGTGCTTTCGCAGCCGTTTTAGCGGATGGATCAGTGGTCACCTGGGGCGATGCACGTCACGGAGGTGATAGTAGCGGTGTCCAGGATCAGCTGAAGAACGTGCAACGGATTCAGGCTTCCAAGGTCGCCTTCGCGGCGATTTTGGCTGATGGATCTGTGGTCGCCTGGGGCGACGGAGCTGGTGGAGGAGACTGCAGCAGAGTGCAGCATCAGCTGAAGGCCGTGCAGAGCATTCGTGCTTCCCATCGTGCTTTCGCAGCGCTCCTCGCTGATGGATCAGTGGTTAGCTGGGGCGATCCATCATACGGAGGTGATAGTAGCAGTGTCCAACATCAGTTGACGAATGTGCAGCGGATTCAGGCCAACCGGCTTGCTTTTGTCGCTTGGTTGGCTGATGGATCGATCGCCACGTGGGGTAATAGCTCTTCTGGAGGTGATGGCCGCCTTAGCGAGGATCAGCTAAAGAATGCGCAACACATTGAGGCTTCAGAGTATGGTTTCGCCGCCCTGCTGGCTGATGGATCCGTGGTTGGTTGGGGTCATCTGGTCTCCAGAATTGACAGGTACACCCAGAGTCAGCTCAAGAATCAGGTGCGTAAGATCCACTCTTCCTATCGCGCTTTCGCAGCGCTCTTGGCTGATGGATCAGTTGTGACCTGGGGTGATCCATATGCTGGAGGTGATTGCAGTGCCGTGGAGGATCAGCTGAAGAATGTGCAACAGATTCAGGCTGCAGAGGCTGCCTTCGCAGCCATCTTGCCGGATAGATCAGTGGTCACTTGGGGCGGTGCTCGCTATGGAGGGGATAGTAGCAAAGTGCAGCACCAGCTGAAGGATGTGCAGCAGATTCAGGCTTCAGAGACAGCCTTCGCAGCGATTTGCGGCAATGGATCCCTCGTGACCTGGGGTGATGACGCTTCTGGAGGTGACAGCAGCAACGTCCCGGATCTGATTGAACAGCTGTGATGGAATGGACTGGACTGGACTCCCCCACCGCCTTGATTTCGGGATCCGAACGACTCTATGATTCGATCGCTCGCTGTGGCCAAGAAAGAGCTTGTGAGTCAGCCGTCACTCTGACTACACCCGGGAAGGTTAACATGGAACCTGATGGCATGGGACTCTAGAAGACGATTTTCCATTACAACCCAGTCGTCACTCTGACTGACGCGAAGGGAATCCCCGATCCACAGAGCCAAACCTGATGAACACGAGGCGACACGAACGCGAACACGGCGACCGAAAACCCCTTCGAACACGAGGGGGGCAGTGGATTTGATAGGGGGTTTGGGCTCTGAAAATGATGTAAGGTGGACCCCGCGGGGGAGAAATTCTTGGAACCCTTCGGTGAAAACATCACACCCTTCTGGCCATCTGCTCAGACTTGTGAAGGTTCTGGAATCGAAAGCCTTGCTGCATCGCCCTGGACTGCTTTCTGAACAGGTGACCAGGTGAGGTCTTTCAGATCTGTACTTCGATCCCAACACCGCGAAGAAGAAGAAGAAGAAGAAGAAGAAGAAGAAGAAGTGATGGGCCAGCCTTTCCTCCGAAGAAAGAACCATCCCACACGCCAGGTGCACACTTTTACCCAGGCCCACGGAACGGGCCATCTCAGATGTCTGAACGGGCCATGGCTTTCGTTTTTCCTCCACGCCTCCAACTCTGCCTGAACCCAGGCAGTACGCCTCAAGGACCAAGGACAGATACCCCACGCGACCGCGACGCCGAGGATCGCGCCTCCGCCGCACATCGGCTTCTGGCAGCGGCAGGCGGATCCCAGGAGAGTCAGACCCGGTCAGGGCGTGGTCGACGGGTGGAGCCTGAAAGCTGGGTGAGTCAGAGCTCACTTCAACAAGATTCACAAGGCAAGGGAGCCGGTTTTTCTTTCTGGGCTAGTGACTATAGTTTGGTCATGCAGGAAGTGTTTTTGTTGTACATCATGAACGGATGATGCAAAGAGGAAGGAACAGGGTCATGGAGCAGCTAGTGGCTTCCTTTTGATCCTGAACTCAGTGTTCCTTCTTTTCCAAGTTCTCAAGTACGGAGGTACTTTTCCTAGAGTTCTGCCTAGATCTGGCATGTCACGAATGAGGATATTCATGGATATTCGCAAGAAGAGACATGTCAGACAGGGCACAGTACCCAACAGATATGTTCAGCATTGTTCAGCCGTATTCGGACGCTATTATATATAGGTGGAGGCCATCGCAAGTAGGTTGGAGGCCATCACTACGAACGCGGCAAGAAGCTAGTAGTAAGAAGGGCTTGCGCCGAGTCAACACGCAGAGGAGCGGGCGGCCCTACTACACCAACCCGGGCACGAGGATAACGCTCTGGGAGTTGCCGCTGCCAGAGGAGGGGAGCTGCTGGAGCTGTTCTTTTTTGCCTTGAGTAGGAAAGTCCAAATCCACTGGTAAACGGAACATGCACAAAACCTTTGGCTGAGAGACATCCATTTTCACCAACTTGGGGAGAGTGTCCCGAAGTATTCCTAGACACTTCAAAACATTGGTTCTAAGAGTGAACCAGTGGTGAGTTCAACCATCTTCTATTCCATAAAAGGGAACTTGCTTGCCAAGTCAGTCACGTCCCTTCCCTTCTCCTTTCAACCAGCTTCCTTCCGCAAGCTGTTCTCAACCTCCCCCCCCTCCCAGGAGCCGCCGCCGGGTGTCTTCATGCCGACGGACATGGCGCCTGTGCCAGCGCCCGCGCCCGCGCCCATGGCCGCGTACACGGTGGGGGTGCCGTCGTCGGTGGAGCCGATGGCTCCACCGGGGCCGAGCGCTGCAGCGGCCAGGTCGCTTGGGGATGGAGAAGTGGTTGAGTCTTGGAATGATCCGGGTGCATCCTATGGTCCTATGGTCCTAAATCATACGAAATATATATATATATATGGTTCCAGGTGCCTACTCTCTGTGGAAGGGTCAAATGGTTGTTTTTGTGGCTAATGAATGAATGACTGACTGACTGACTGGCTGACTGAATGAATGAATGAATGCATGAATGAATGAATGAATGAAGGCTTCCATTTGCCTCTCCCACAAAGTATGGCCCGGGCTTGTTCCAGTTGTACTCATTGTTGAGCCAAAGCGCTACTCCTTTGCGTCGAACACAGGGTACCAAATAGACAATCATTTTTCTCCCAACAAATGGGGTTTCATACCATAGCCCAACTTGTCCGATTTTCAGTGCTGCTACAGTTGCACGAAGACGTCCCAGCAGAACCTTGAGGATGCACCTGCTCGCTCTGGATTCACGCCCCTGTTCGTTTGCAATGTGTTCTCTATTTTTCACCAAACAGTGTGGACACACTTAGGGGTTCTAGATCTCTAGACTTTCTGCTGACCTCACACACACACACACACACTGTTACCCGGGGTCTCTTGCCGGGATAATAGGATCATTCTGGATGGCCTTCAGGCCATTGCCTCTTTTCTTCCCCCCACCTAATCCAGGTCTCCGCCGGTCTCCGCCGCCTCGGCCTCCAGGCCAACGCCCACTTCTTCGGCCCATGCGCGGATTCCCCCCACTTCTTCGGCCCAGCGCGCAGGTGGGGCCGGTCGAAGCGACGGGGACCCGGGCTTCAGCGGTGCGGAGCGGAGAGGTGCGGAGATCCTGAAATTGGCCACGGAAGACGTCGTTGGTGATTCTATTCGTTTTTTCTTGAGACGGATGGAGACGGATGCACCTCCGAACAGATGGACTGCATCTCGGCGACCGCCTCACGATGCTTCGTGGCAACTCCTTGGCGAAACGCCTTGCGATGTGAGGCATTGAGCATCGGGCCAAGGGACGGTTCCAAGTCGACTTCTTTTGACCCTGAAACAGGTATTCCAAAGGAAGTTCCCTTGAAACATATCCAAGGCTTTGTATACATCTTTTTTACTATATTGTCTGGTGTAACTATATCATTGTTTAGAGCCCGAGGATCCCTTTTTTCAGGTGATTCCAACGTCCTTTGTTTGGGGGTCTTTGACTTGGACTGGCCGCCAGGTCCCTCGAGCAAAGCCACGGACAGCGAGGACGGCCGTTGAGAATGACCGGGAGTGACCGGAGGAGGTGCCAGGTGCCGTGGATTTTGGGAGATGTCATGATAGCACGGCAGGAAACAGGTTGCACAGTCAGAGGCACTGCCTTTCGGGCTCAGAAAGAAACAAAGGAACCGTGATGTCATGATATTTCACCGGAGCTTCATATTTTTTCAAACCAAAACACCAGCGAAACCGTTGTCAGGACCAGATTTTGGACCAGGCTCGGACTGGAGCTGTAGTGTAGTGTAGTGTATATGTTATTCATGTACAGTCCGCTAGGCTATAAGATCATCAGTTCGTGTGGTTTGTGCCATGCAGCCTGAAGCTACTACCCCATTCAGCAAGGATCGTCAAGTAGAGTCGTAGAGCCATGAGACGCCATGTCCCCATTCCGTTCGTCAAATGGGCGAACGATGAGGGCACAAGACATCACAACACACCCGATGCACCACCCTTTGTCGGCGAACTTCAGACCGGGTCTAGCCATCACTGGCTGGGGTCGCCGGTGGTATCCAGTTCTCCCCCTAAAACAGAGAGCCGGAACTCCCCAGTCTAGATAAGCACACTTCACTACCCTGGAAGTCCAAGTGACTCCTGGGTAGCCCTGTTTTCAAGTGGGGGATCATGACTTCCTGGTGGGGTAGCCCTGAGTCATTGGAAGTTCTGGGTGTCTAACCCCCCACTTACTTGGTTTTCTTCTAACTCGGCCAGGCACCAGGCACTCGGTCCCCTGCCAAGAGTCACACACGGCGGAACCCGGCGATTCACCGCGAGCGGTGAATGATTCGTGAAGAGCCAGGAGGTTCGCCCGACACCAAGCCTCTGGGCAGTTGGAGCAGTGCGGGGCGGGGGGGGTAGCGAAGGACGGGAATGGGTCCCAAACCTGCGAATTCTGGTCCTGTGAAATTGCTTCAAACACCTCGATGGTGACTCTTTTGATGTTCCCAACCATGGCGGATAAATCCATGTACATCCACTTCTGGGGACTCCTTTTTCAACGCCCGGCTTCCTGGGAGCCCCCAGACCGTCGTCGTCTGCGTCGTCTTGGAATCGCTGGGTGTCCCGACTGGTCGTCGCGTCCCTTGGAAGCGAAGCGACTCGACCGACCGACGGTGCCGTCAACGGGTCGACCGGCGGTGCCGTGGAACGGAGCGAAGCGACTCGATCTCTAAAGACACTCCCGAAAGGAAGAATGGTTAAGGGGTCCAGGCCAAAGAAAGGAAGAGCTTTCGTTTGTTCCTTTTCCAACTTGGATGAGTGAGTAGTAAGTCAAGTCAGTGACAGATTTAGCAAAACATCTGCAGATTCACCCAGTGAAGTTGCTGAACAAAGAAGAGACCGACTTCCGAAAGACAGCGGAAGCTCCGTTGGTTGGAGCTTTTGGCTAGGTTTTCCATGTTTTTTGGGATGGGCCCGACAAGTTTCAATAGCTGAATGAAAGTGGATACATCTTAAAAGAAAGCTTCGCCTTGAACGAGGGGGAGACGGTTCAGTGACAGTAGCCTTTTTGAGAGTGACCGGTTCTGATACATCAGGCTTGATGGAGGGGCGTGCCCCCGTGCCCCGGTCATGGAAGTTCATATTAGTTCATATTATAGTTTTGAGTTTCATTTTGTTGTAGTGGGAAAAAGACTCCTTAATAGAGATTCTACAGCAAATTGTATGTACTCCAGGATGGTTATAACATTTGCAAGGTCAAACTGAGGCACTCAGTTTGCCCTTGCACTGTGAGATTCAAGCATGGCCAGTTTTCTATCATTTTTCGGACGAATACCGTGTGTGGAGTAGAATCTTCAGCACTCCTTGAGCTCCCTTCTTGGCGCGTCGCCTCCGGCGCGACGCTTGCCGAGGCCCTTCGACCTTGGCCCCGCCGGAGGCGTCGCCGCCGGCGACTCCGGCGTCGCCGCAGGAGTCGCCGGATGAGGGGCGGACGGCCTTGGATTCGATGATCGACGAGCAGACGGCGCTGGACAAGATCATCCAGGAAGCCCAGCAACGGGAGGACGAGGTGCCAGCGACAGGACGAATGGGAGAGGGTGGTACAGGCTGGTTTTCGCTGGGTAGTGAGAAGAAAGCGGTTGGGGTATGTGTCGGGGTGTCTGGTAGTGGGTGAACAATGGTGATGGATTTAGTTGGAGTCTTCGACCAAGAAGGGCGAAGGCTCGGTTTTCATGGGTCAAAGGCTTATGAAGCTTATGGAGACTCTTGATTCATCAGAGGTTTTCTAATCCAAATTGTGTTTTTAAAGAGTCTACATAGCATGGGTGTGGGACAAAGCACTAGAAACCAGATCGATTTACCGCCAGACCATTCTGTGATATTCTGTATGTTGGGGGTCCAACCCGGGTGCACAGATGGGATCGACAACAAATAATTAGCTTCAAGGATCCACTTGCTCACTGTGTCATAGGGTAAAGCAGTTCCAAAGACTGCAACATCTGGAGACTCTTGATCAATATTCCAAAGACTGCAACATCTAGACACAAAAGCAGCTGGAGCCTCCATTTCATGTATAGAATCTTCATGAATCTTCAAGAACAACACAGCAAGAAAAAGAGAGATCCCTTCACATCGGGGAGATTTCATCAAGAAAAAGAGATCCCCATTTTTCGTGAACCCGAGGCATCGCCCGGCCTTCCGACCGCCTGGCCCCGGGCGCCCCTCGACGCATCGGACAGGCCGACGACGAGGCGTCTCGCCGCTCCCGGTGCCCTGGACGCGTCGTTCGTTGGTTCGTCGGGTGGTCGTCCGCGGTGACGGTGGCAGGCAACGTCTGACGTTGTGAACGCCAAAGGTGTGTTCGTTCACGCCTGGCGTTGTGGTGTGGTCAGATGGTCAGGTGGTCCAGGTCAGCCGGATGTCTTGGGATGTCTTGGATCGTCTGAGTTGCAACGTGGTTGGGGTCAGATGTGCCCTTCAAGAGGAGCAACAGCTCAATGACCCAAGGGTACATTTATATCAGGCTTTGCCACGGTCTTTGGATGTCTCTGGCATTTCAGCCATGCCAGGAGTTCTGGATGGTCAGATAGTACGCCATAGAAGGAACACAAAAAAGAAACGACTTTTACACCACTTGCAGCACAGCACATTATAACATCTTATAACGCACTTATAACATATAGAACTTCTATGAACCATTGAATACACTATTATCATTTCTTTACATGGAGTTCTTGGAACTCGTTGCTTCCATGCTCCCCATGCTCGTTGCGACACCTCGGCGGTTCCCGCCGAGGCCTCCGCCGGAGCCGCCCGGCCCTCCGCCCTGGCACCGCCCAGCGGAGCCGCCGCCGGAGCCGGAGCCGCCGGAGCCGCCGCAGCCGCAGCCCGAGCCGCCCAGCGAAGCGCCGGGGCCGCGGAACGCCTATGCGATGGATCCGTATGATGCTTGGAGAAGGGAAGGGAGGGGTAGGGTATATAGTAGGGAGGGTGGCAGGGTGGGGTTGAACTTCAAAGTGATTGCATTGTTTGTTGATGTCACGATTTGTGTTGGAAAGGATCTCAAGCACAGGTCAATCTCTTGTTTCCATTTGTTTCCATCATCAAATCCACGACTTGACTTTTAAAGACTAGATATTTCCATCGATGTTTCCACCGGACACCGCCCTTCGACACTCGAGGATCCCTACGGCGAGTGGGACGACCGTGATCGCGAGGGCCCTCCAGGCGGGGAGGAGGTCGTTTGCATGGGCTTTCGGGGGCCGGTCATCCTTTTGGAGCATTTTGGATCGTCTTGCTCCTAGTCGTAAGGCCAAGGAGCCCCGATCGTAGCGTCCTCTTGTTCCTAGTAGCGATGCCCTTTGCTCCTAGTAGCATTTTGTATCAGTTGATACCAACCCCAAGAATGATGGGCTGTGTGAAGGATGCAATTTTGGGAAGTGCTACTGTTGGACGGATGCAATCCTGCATCACTGCATCAACGCATGTGGTGGTCCGAGGTAACAAGATCCCTCAACACTCAACACTACTCGGACTACTCGTATACCAATTCAATATTGTTTTGTGATGTTTTCTGTTTGAGATGCGTGGTGCAGGGATTTTGGTCATTGAAGTTTTTGGTGATGGACCATTTCTGTTCGGAACACCATTACAGATGGATCACGTGGGCTTTTGCTCTTCGTTCTTGAACCGGAGCAGGGAGCTTTGAGAAACCCGCCGCTAACCGTTTCATGTGAACAATGCAGAGTGGATGAGCCGAACATGTTGACTTTTGCTGGGTGGAGCAATATCAAGTGCGTTTCAAGTGAACATCAAGGGAATCGGTCCGTGGGTGTCATCACTTGCCCTTCTACCAAGCCGTCCTGCGTGTCGATTTTCGTTGCCGAGCAGCTCGTTTCACCAGATTTTCAGCAATTGGGACGTTTCACCGGGAACAGACTGCACGACAGTTGGTGATTTGACCCCCCCCCCTTCAACAAACATGGAAGTGGAGAATGGCCTGTTTGTAGAGGAACTTGGTCTTTTCACACGTCATGCCATCCACATAACCATGGTTCTTTCAGTGCACTTGGGAGGGCACTTTGGCTCGCCCATGGTGGACCGGCAAAGGGGTAGACTGGTCAAAGATTTGCGTTCTTCATGCAAGAACGGAATCAGAGCAAGGACCGGTTGGAAGATTCCCAATGTTCAGTTGTCAACCTCTCTTCAGCTGTGGTAATGTGACTCCCCATACCATCCAATGACCCGGGCGGGACTTCAACAAGTGACATAGCATGGCATAGCATGGCATAGCTACCTGCAGGTCCCTGGCCGATTTGGCTTGATGGTGTTCCGCACGTCTCACCTGCCGACCTCGCACGTCGCCCATCGCGAGGCCAAGGCGACGAGGAAGAGGCACGGCGGAAACGGAAGCACCGCGTGTCTGGCGAGCACCGGTGAACAGGTTCATGGCCATAGCTCATTTCACCCAGCATTTGAGTTCTTGACATTCATTTGAAGCTTCGTTTTTGAGGTTTTGAACTCGTGCCTAAAAGGTGGAAGATCACCAAGATCGCACATAGAACAAGACATGATGGTCCTGAAGCACATAGAACACATTGTATGTTTTGTTTTGGGATGTTTTGACGGGGACCACAGGCACATCTTTGGGTATTCAAATTCCCTTCTTCAGAGTTCTTCTTTTAGTAGCCCTCACCTATAACTTTGGAACATCGATTTCCTTGAAACATACCATTTCCAGGACGTCACCCCGCTAGGACCGCGGAAGGCGGGTCCTCTCCTCGCCGTTCAGGTCTTGGTCGAAGTGGATGAGCCAGGTCCGTCTGCCGAGCTCGAACGGCCGAGGGGCCCAGAGGAGTCGCAGTGGTCGTTCGGGTCGCCAGGTTCGGCGGCTCCGGCGAAGACGGGTGGGACCCTCTCGGGTGGCCTTTTGGGGTTCGATCCGGGGGGCGCTATGGGTCCGCGAAGTGAGGGAGAAGTGGTGTGTTGTTGGCGTGGCGTGATGTGCCATTGAGATCCCCGGTCAGTTAGCCTGGCTGAATTGGGGAGGGGTAGGGTACCTGGCTAGAAATTTATTTAGCCACATTGGGGCCATTTTATTTCTATTTTGGTCTCTGACCTTACTGTAGGCATGAGGTACCATGGAAGGTTGGGTACCTTGGCCAGACCTAAATTTATCCAGGGCCTGGGTGTGCCAGCGTGCAAGCAATAAAGACTAGTTGATGTGTTGGGTACCTACCATTTAATCTAAACCGTGCAAACACTTTTAGCCACAGGTCTTTTTGTAGAGCTCAAGGTGCTTGGATAAAATGCAAGGGACCCAAGAAATTACAGTACAAAACGTTACAAACACTCAAGGAGGAGTGATTTCAGCCTATGTTGGGTGGGTATGTTGTTGTTGCGGTGACTGTTGTTTTGGTGGTGGTGGTTTGTTGTGTGGATGTTGTTTGGCCAAAGAAAATGTATATATATATATATACACACTGTCCAATCTTTCCACTGATTGTTGCCAGTCATTGTGTCATAGCTTTGTTGGCAGCAAGGATGGCTTTGGTGTTCGGTTGTGTGATGGATTGGTTGGTTGAAGATGAGATCCAAGACCTCAAAAAGTCTCCAACACATTTCAAAACTCAGGGTGGGTGGATTTCAGCCATTCGTTGCCATGACTGGGAAGGTTGTGCTGCGTTGTGTGTGCTTAGATTGTGTGCTGGCAAGGTGCTTGGATAAAATGCAAGGGACCCAAGACGTTACAGCACAAAACATTACAAGCACTCAAGGAGGGAGTGATTTCAGCCTATGTTGGGTGGGTATGTTGTTGCTGTTGTTGCGGTTGAGATTTTCATGTTCAGTCATGCCACTTCATGCCATGATCCTGTTGCCATTTAACCTCCAGTGCACTAGAAGGGTGGGCACATGACGTCATTCGACGCCTTGGAAAAGCAGCTGGCCGAGTGTGTGCAGCGCCGTAGGATCCAGGGCCAGGCTCCGTCGTCGAGCCGAGAATCGCATTGGTAGCGCGGCAGCAGGTTCGGCGCCGCAGCACCTTCCAGCTGACGATGTTCTTCGATGACCTCTACGAAGACTTCGGCGCGGAGGATGAAGATGAGGACGCTGCCTTCTTTGATGGCGCTCCAGCCGAGCCAATGGAGGAGGACGATGATGACACCCAGGTCTATGACTTCGATGACCCGGGTGATGGTGGAGGACCAGCACGGCCGTTGGGACCTAACGGAAGCCCTTCCTCTTCAGCAGCTCCTTCAAGGAGAAGAGGATCTAGAGGCTCACGATCTTCACAACATGGCCAATCCGGTCCAAGCTCTCGCAAGTGGCGATCAGGCCACATCCCTGCCCCGCCGACCTTCGCGGGGAACGTGGAGGACGAGCCCTACTGCTTGCGACATTACCGTCGTGCTTTGCGACGGTGGACGACGATTACAAAAGAGTTTTTGCCGGCCAACGAACAGGCCTTGAGAGCGCTCGACGCGCTCACCGGCGAGGCCGCTTTGGAGCTCGAGGAGGTGGACGATGAGCGCTACAACACGGACACCGGAATCCAGCAGCTCCTTGATGATCTTGAGATCAGCTTCGGCGAGCGCGAGCTGTTCCGACGCGGAGGACTGATCCGCGAGTACGAATCCCTGACAAGAGTCCAGGGAGAGTCGGTCTGCGCTTTCCTTCGAAGGTTCCGACTCTATGAGAGGAAGCTCAAAGACGCTCAGGTCCCGCCCTACCCGGACGAGACACGAGCGGTCAAGCTGCTCGATGGCCTACGCCTCGACGAACGAGCCACTTCGCAACTGCTCTTGGCTGCAGGCAATCGATACAGCTTTCAAGCGCTGGTTGAAGCGATCCACATCCAATATCCAGCGGGGCTGACGCTGACGGGGATGTCACGACATCCAGTCCCTGTCCATGTCGCCTCAGCTCCACGACATCGAGGCCGAGGACACCAACCCCGAGGCCGAGGAAGAGGCGGAAGTTTCCGCTGGAAGACATGGCACACTGAGGCCATGCCTGCAGATGACGACCCAGTTGAGGAGGTCTTCATGACTGCCGGTGATGAAGTCCAGCAGTATGAGGACGACCCGAACGACGACACCTTCGATTACCAGTTCGCTGACTATGATGAGCAGGCTGAAGATGCAGCCGCAGCTGAGGAGTTCGAGCCTGATGAACTCCCTGAGTATGAGGCCGGTGATGACGCCGGCGATGAACACCAGGCCATGACGGCCACGAGCAAGCGCCTGGCTGCAACCATGCAGTCAAGGGGCTACTATACCACCGCCAAAGACAAAGGCAAGGGCAAGGGCCACGGAAAAGGCGCTGGCAAGGACAAGGGCTTTGGCAAGAAGGGAACTACATCCTCTTCTTCGTCTACGACCACTTCCAAAGGAAAAGGGTCCGGCAAGTCCAAAGCCGGCTCAAAGGGTGGGAAGTCCAAGATGAACCCCACTCAGCGGCAACGCATGCAGGCAAGTCTCTGCCTGGGTTGCGGTGCCTCAGATCACTGGCTTCGCGAATGCCCACATGTCACACAGCACCAAGCGCATGTGTGCTCAGCTTCATCCACCTTGGATGGAGATGGCACTGTGGTTTGGATGGCAAGCCACAACAAGATGCCGGGCTGGCAGCCTGAGCCTGACCCAACACCTTCATCGTCTTCGGCACCATCCACTTTGAGCCGCCGAGACGAGGAAGAGCCACCACCACCTCCTCCAAGGAGGGAATTGCCAGCGGAGGACACCCTGCCGCCCTGGGAGGCCTTGGTTCCAGAAGGATGGAATCCTGACGACTATGCCGACTACGAGGACGGCATGGCCTTCTGGAGGCAAGAAGCTCAGAGCTTGAACGCTCTCATGGATGAGAACGGCAACATCCCAGGAATGAGGGAGCTTCCTTCGCCAACAGGTTCTTTTCGAACCGCGCGGGCCACAGAGTCCGACTTCGCTTCATGTGCACCCAGTCGGGCGCCCAGCGAGTTTCAAGACGCTCAGAGCGAAGCTCCGAGCGAAGCAACGCTGGAAGTTTTTGGAACTTTCAACTCACCACCTTTGTTTTTGTCTAGCGTAGCAGCTTCATCTCATGATTTTCCTTCGCATGTCTCATGGGGTGAGGACCCAAGGACCTCAAGAGTAGAACAACAATGGGGTGAGGACCCAAGGACCTCAAGAGAAGAACAACAACGGGGCGAGGACCCAAGGACCTCAAGAGACATAGGCTGTCCATCACTTACCCTTGAGGGGTACCCATTTCTAGCCGCCCAGCCGGCTCCCGTGGCATTGCCACCACCTTCGCCCTGGACGCGAGCCATGGCCTTCGACGGCTTGGCAGCCGACGATGAGAGTGGAAGGCCAGCTCGGCCATTGAACGAGCATCCTATGGTGAGGATGCGCCATGCCTCAGGTGCAGCCAGCACTTCTGCCTTGGCTGGTGGCTACCGGACCGAGACCTACTACCGGGTCCAAATGATCTATGCCTCGCGAACAGCACGACCGCCTTCCTTGCTGCGGTCGGTTCCTGAGGAAGATGCTGATGGAAAGCCGCATGATCATTTGTTTCGTGCACCACCCATCACCAACATGATGCAGTATACGGACGAGCCATGCCTGGCCATAGTGGATACAGGCTGTCAGCGACAAGTGGCTGGCCGCCGGTGGCATGAGCTCCACTTGAACCACGTGCAGCTCCCCAGACTGTTTTTCGTGGAAAATTGTGCTTTTCGTTTTGGTCCGAGCAAGAGTTCACGATCACGAGAGAGGTATGCATATCCTGCAGGTCTTGGAGGTCATTTTTGTGTGATGTTTTTCTCGTGTGTTGAAGAAGATGCACCTGCTTTGATGTCACGCCACACCATGACCACACTCGATGCCATCCCGGACATTTCAACGGGCAAGATGATTTATAGGGCTTTGGGCACCACTTCACAGCTGTATCTTTCCACCTGCGGTCACCTAGCAGTTCGCCTAGATGAATGGCCTGAAGAACTTCCAAGTTGGCCATGTCAGATGCCCTTGGACAAGAACGAGTTGCCTGATGTTTGGGCTCCGACTGCCACTCCGGTTCAAGCTCGACCACTTCCGAGTGCAAGACACCCTGCTGTGACACCACCCGGAGATGCCCGCTCCTCCTTCATGGCTGAGGCGCTGGCGTCAGCTGCTGGTCCACCTGTGGAACCTGGTGGTGACTGTGAGCAAGTCGGTGCTCCACTACGCTGCTTCGAGCTTGAAGCCACATCTGCGCGACGACATCATCAAGCACTACATGGCTCCCTGCACGGCAGCGACCATGCAGACCTCGATGGCAGCAATGGCAGCTCAGGCCAACATGCAGACCCTGACCTACCCGAGGGATCCATCGGAGTGCGAGCACCCCTCAGGCCTTCGAGCCTACGGGGCGGGAGGCCAGAGCGTTCGCATCTGCGACCAGTGCGGTTTCAGGGCAGTGATCCACAAGGGTCAGATGATCCGAGTGCAGCCCAAAGCAAGTCCTCATGCTCGAACCCCTCTACAATTGCCGGAGCACATCTCACAACACAGCAAAAGCAAAGCCGCCGGCAAAGCATCAAGCAAAGCCGCAGGCAAGAGCGCTCCCCCGGCAAAGTCAACTGGTTCCTCAGGACAGCAACGTTCTGGCTCGGGACCTTTCTTGCCTTTCTCTCAGGGCTACTTCTCGGAACCACCTCAGTATCCGAACTTGGCCAACATGACGCCTTCGCAGAGCTGGACTCATCAGCAGATCCTGCAACAGCAAGTCGAGGACCAGGTGCAACGTCGACTCCAAGAGATTGGTCCGCAAGTGGAGGCGCAAGTTCAGCAACGCTTGGAGCAGATGGCCAAGGCGAAGGCGACAGCTCCTATGCCTTCGACTTTGACGGCACCAGTGCCGGAGATTCCTTTGGACAACGGTTCAGTGGCGAGCTGGGATCAGGTTGGCTCGCAATGGAACCAGGACTGGAACAACCCTTCGAACTGGGACCAGCCCTACGACTGGACGGAGGAGATCGAGGAGCAGCACGAGGACTTCGAGAACGACCAGGAGAACTACCCGGACATGGGCCAGGAACAGATGTCCCTGGACGGTTCGGCCCTCTGAATCCACAGCTATCTGGGTCGGCCGACCGACCTTTGACCTTCGAGGACCGCGGTTTCCAGTTGCTCAAACCTGGACGCCGCAAGAGACTACTTCACACCGTTCGCCAACTTCGTCAACTATGGCTCACAGAGTTGCAGATCTATGACAATGTCATTCAGGCCGCACGGAAGCTCCGTCACACCTCCGAGGTTGACCTCATTGAGATCTATGGCGGCCACTGCAACATCACTGAGGAGGCTCTGTCACGAGGACTTCGATGTTTGCAGCCGGTGGACAAGATTCATGGAATCAGTCTCAACAGCAAGGCCGACTTTGCCTGGCTACAACGTCTTCTCCATCGATGGCGACCTCTGCTGACAGTTCTGGAGCCTGAATGTCGACTCTGGTCACCTCTGACTGGACTCAACTACTACTGGCGACCGGAAGAACTTGAACAACTTCGAGCAGAAGCGCAAGTCACCGTTGAAGGTGTTGCCAACATGATCCGCGACATCATCGCAGCGGATCGTTTCTTCCTTTTGGAGAACCCCCATAACGGGCAGTTTTGGAACCAACCTGCAATGCTCAAGCTCTTCAACGATTTCGAGCTCTACTATGACTATGGCAACATGTGCGCCTACGGTCTTCGTGGACGCAACGGTGGCCTGATTTGCAAACCCACTGGATGGCTGAGCAACAATTCAGCCTTGCTTGCGAGTGTCACTCACAAGTGCAACGGGCTTCATGAGCACGAAGAATGCATGGGAGGAAATGCCAAGCTAGCTGCTGTCTACACCAAGCAACTTGCTAAGTCCCTGGTGGATGCCTTCACCTCTGAAATGCAAGACCTTGGGGACGAGCGCTTCATCCTGGCTACTTCAGCGAGTTCCTCCGCTACCAGCTTTCCTACTTCAACTAGCTCAAGAAGGCCCATGACACCTTCGAGGGCACCTTTGACCCCCATGCCAGGTACTCCAATGCCTGGAACTCCAGCATGGCCGGTTCCTTCTACACCTGGACCTGGCCCTATGCTTGAAGATGACCACGTCAGCTTGCAGAAGGACCCTGACAGCTGGCGACCTTTGTTGAAAGAGGCGGCAGAACGCCTTGAGGGAAAGGTGGCAGTTGCAGCGGAGATCAAACCCTCCGCCTTCCTGGAACAGGTGAAAGCTTTGGTTCCTTGGCACATCTCCTTCGCCCAGATCTACCGGACACCAAAGACACGACGACTTCCGACTCAAAGGATGCTGAACGTGCCCGACATCACTCATCGAGGCGCAGCACTCCTCTACCACGACAACACCATCGAGGTTGAGAGTCAGGCCTTGGAGGATCTCACCAATCCGAACTCCAGGTTCGAGCGAAGTGTACGTGTCGCCATCTTCATCTATGGCAAGCCCATGGCAGTGGAGACCTCAGCTCAGAGGAGAACTTTGTCCAAGTTGACTTCATCGCCAACTCCGGTGGCAGTTGAACCAGAGCAGACTATGAAACCCTGGGAACCAGGAGCTGCTGACATCTCCTTCCCTGGTTTGTCTGAAGATCAGGTTCCACGATGGATGCAAAACGTGCTGAAGCGCATTCACTCCAACCTGGGGCATCCATCATCGGCAACACTCATTCGTATGTTGTCACAAGCTCAAGCGAGCCCAGCTGCCTTGATTGGTGCACGTGCTTTGCGTTGTGCCGTTTGTGAACGCAGCAAACCACCTCGAGAACCTCGACCTTCAAAGACACCACCACCTACCAGACGGTTCAATGAGCGCGTGATGCTGGACCTGCTTTACACCAAGGACTCCTCAGGTGAGACCTTTGCCTTCCTGAATCAGGTTGATGATGCCACAACTCTTCAGGTGCTCACCTTGGTCAACGACCGCAACTCCAGCACCATCACCTCAGCGCTTGTGAAAGGATGGTTCCAGCACTATGGTCTACCAGAGACTCTTTTGGTGGACGCTGAAGGTGCTATGAAGAGCTTCGCCTTTGACGAGCTCATGGCCCAGAGCAACATCATGGTTCGCTTTGTCCCTCCGGACGCTCACTGGCAGATGGGCAAGTGCGAACGACATGGAGATGCAGCAAGAGCCATCCTGAACAAGTTGGTCGACCAACATGGTCTACTTGGCGCCGAGGACATGCAGACCGGCGCTGTGATGGCTTGCTTCGCCAAGAACACCCTCGCGAGGCGAGCTGGCAGTTCACCTGCTCAATGGGCACTTGGCCAAAATCCTCGACTACCTGCAGCAGTGCTCTCCGAGGGAGATAATCCTGAGGCAATGGAGCGACTCACACTGTCCAATAAGCTGCAGCAGATCGAGAACCTTCGCTTCGATGCGATGCACGCCTTTCTGTCCTTCGAGAACGAGAACGCTTTGAGGCAGAGCATGCTTCGACGCTCACGACCATGGAGAGGCCCCTATGAGATCGGCCAGAAAGTCGTTTACTACCGCCTTCGCAATGCCTTGGACGGCGAAGGATCTCAACCTGGCTATCGTCAAGGGCTGATCTTGGCCAAGGACCCGGGCATCAACGGAAGTCTATGGCTTCGCAACGACAGAGGCCGACTGGTGCAAGTGAGCCGCGAACAAGTTCGATGCCTCCAAGGAGACGAGATTTGGCTCCCAGATGAGAAGGATTTCAACCTTCTGAGGTCAGCTGAGCAGGACTTGGAGAAGAAACACGCCTCAGCTCATGACCTTCGTGATGCAGCACCACCTCCCGGACTTCTTCTTTTACCAGAGCAACCACCTGCCGAAGTTCCTGAAGGTCCTCTCGAACCTGGCAGGCAACCTCTGGATGCTCCCGGTGAGTCTGTTGAACCACCGCTTGAAATTGCTGAACCCGAAGTTCCTGCTGACGTACCTCTGGACCCCGCAGGGAATCCTTTGGGCAGTGAGCCTACAGCTCCGCTACCACTTCTGCTGGCACCTTCATCACCGAGGGCGACGCCGGCTCCATCCCGGAGGGCTTCAGTGGCTTCCCAAGGTTCAGCACCTGATAGCAAGAGGCTCAAAACTTCAGAAGCCTCGAGCTCAGCACCTATGCCTTCGCCTGCTGACTTTTCACGACAGGTGTCAGCAATGACGAGGCAGACTTCAACTGGACTGAGACCAGTCCCTGAAGATGCAGTTATGGCCGAAGCTGGTTCCATGCAGGGCATTCGAGATGAACTACCTGCAGTACCAGACTCCGATGAGGCCTTGAATGTTTCACTTGAGGCCGATGGCATGTGTGACACCATCGACGCCCAGTCTCTCTGCACCTTTTGTGGCTGCCATGAGAAGGAGATCAACGACGAGATGAACACCGGCAAGCCACAGTGCAGCAAATGCATGAATACGGAATTCACCAACCACCCTTGTGAAGTGCAGCTCAACAACCTGGATTTTGATGCCAGGACTTGCAGTTGGAGGCCTTCCGACCATGCCGCAGCCGACACACTTCACCTGCCAGATCAACGTGAACTTGAACAAGTTTGGCAAGTTGAAGCATGGAAGACTGATGAGGTCCATCGCATTTCTGGCGATGACATTCCAAACAGCACTACCAGCACAACTTTGAAGAGCATAGCTGCTTGGGAACCTCAGAAGAAGACCTGGACATGGCTGACTTTGGCTGGCTACGTCAACGACGAGATTGAGGACCAGAACTTCACCAAGAAGGTTGTCCTCTACCACACCAGCAAGCCAGGTCGTCGCCGACTTAGCCCAAGAGGGCTTCGACGACAAAGAAAGCAATACCAGCACTACAACCCTGAAGCAGTTTGGCTTCTTCGGCATGGCCGCGAAGATGCTTTCAAGACTGGTTGGGACGGCTCTCCCAAAGAACACCAGTCCCTTTTTGACGGCAAGCAGCATTTTGCTCTAGCTTGCAACGTGGCAGAATGGCATGAACACTTGGCCAACACCAAGAATGACAACAACAACCACATCACGACCTTCGAGGTGTACATGTCCACCACTGGAGGCCACCAAGTGTTTCCTGAGACCTTTGATGAAGAAGATGCTGGTCTCAAGAGGACGCAGCGACAAGCCCTCAAGCGCGAGCTCCCTTGGCGCTCCATTGGCGCCGCAGACTGGGAAGCCTTTGTGGAGTCCATGCGCAAAGAATGGAGCGAATGGAAGAAATGGGCTTCATGTGAGAAGTTCACTGGCGACACCAAGAGCATCGCCAAGCACCTCATCCTGCCTGCTCGAGTATGTTTTCGGTGGAAGCCGATTGATGGAGGTGCATCTTTCAAAGCAAAAGCCCGCATTGTGATCCAAGGATTTCGTGATCCTCACCTTCCACTTCTCTCACGAGATGCTCCTGTCCTGTCCCGCATTGGGCTCATGTGCATCCTTCAGTGGGCATGCTCACACCAGGTGGACATCGTGAATGGAGATTGCAAGTCAGCCTTCCTGCAGGGCAAGCCCGACCACGAGAGGCCAGAGAAGATCTATATGCGTGTGCCCCAAGATGGAGTCTCTCGAGAAGCAGTGCCTGAATGGGCTCAAGAGCCTGACGCTTTGTACGTGCTCCACGCTCCAGTTTATGGCCAGGCAAATGCACCACGGCAATGGTTTTTGCACGCGCTTGATGTCATGGTCAACAAGTTGAAGTGGGTGCAACACTCCCTTGACCCTTGCATCTTCCTGAAGAAGGTCAACGGAGAGGTCAAAGCTGTCCTTGGCATCCATGTGGATGACATCTTGGCCGCTTCGCTCCAAGAGGGCATCCTCAACGAAGTTGAGAAGTCTTTCAGTTGGGGCAGTCCCTGGGAGGTCAATGATTTTGTTTTTGTTGGACGGCGAATAGTTCGCCATGACAACGGCAACATCACCTTGAGCCAGAGCCACTACGCCACTGATGTGATCATCACCAAGGTGAAGCAAGACCACGAAGCCAAGATGGGCTCAGACCGAGATGCGATCTCGGAGTTCAGATCCGCCACCGGATCTTTGCAATGGATGTCAGGAACTACCAGACCCGACATCGCGGCGGACACTTCCCTGCTGCAAAAAGGTCACAGCGACCTGACGTATGGTGATCTTGCTGAAGCCAACTCCGTGCTCAAGTACGTCAAGGCGACGGCGAATACGGCGGTAACGATCAAGCCGATCGACATGGAGCAGCTGGTGCTCATTGCCTTCGGCGATTCAGCGTTCGCCAACGCCCCTGGAGGAAAGAGTCAGGGAGGCTACATCGTGCTAGCAAGCACACCTGAGGCCCTGACCAAGCAGACTGATGCCAGTTTGCTGGACTGGAAATCCTACCGGCACCAGAGAGTCCTCCGGTCAACCTTGGCCGCAGAGGCTGCTTCTTTGGACAAGTCCGAGGACTACGCCAACTTCGTGGGCTGCATGCTAGGCGAAATGGCCAACGGCACCTACATCGCCTCCCACTCGGCGAAGTCACCTTTCGCCATTTGGCCGGTGACAGATGCAAGATCGCTCTACGATGCGATCCACAGACTGGCAACCTCCTTCTCCGAAAAGCGAGTGGAGATAGATGTGGCAGCTTTGCGACAGACATGCCGCAGCTTGCGATGGGTCCCTACGGAAGCCATGCTAGCAGACGCGCTAACAAAGCGCAACAGACAGCTGAGAGACCAGCTGAGGACCTGGATGGAAGATCCACGGGTCAGCTTGATAGAAGCCCGAGACCCCGGTGACGAAGACACCACAGCATGGAGGTCAAAGGCAAAAGAAAACAATACCAGTGAGATTTTCATGTTCAGTCATGCCACTTCATGCCATGATCCTGTTGCCATTTAACCTCCAGTGCACTAGAAGGGTGGGCACATGACGTCATTCGACGCCTTGGAAAAGCAGCTGGCCGAGTGTGTGCAGCGCCGTAGGATCCAGGGCCAGGCTCCGTCGTCGAGCCGAGAATCGCAGCGGTGACTGTTGTTTTGGTGGTGGTGGTTTGTTGTGTGGATGTTGTTTAGGCCACATGTCCAAATAGACACCAGCTCGTCTGGCACGAAGGGTTTGCTGGACTATGAGTACGTAGTCCGTAGTCAAACCAGCACAAGCCAGCATGCGCCAGTGGAAAACAACCTGAGGAGTGTGCTGGCGCTGTCCTGCAGTTGGGGACCTCTCATTTTATCTCTGTTTGCTCTTTATTTTTATCCAAAATTAATCTTGGGTCCCCCTATTTTTATCCAGGCCTGGAGCGAGGCTTGTTTGGAGTGGGGTCCTTTTTGCTGGCTGAATTCATTCCTGCTGGAGTCAACCTGTCTTGGGTACCTCCTTTTCTATTTTTCCACATGTTTTTAAAGCCATTTCCGCAGGGATCCAACCCCATATTGAGTAGTAGACCGGGGATCATTGAGGGGATTGAGAGGTCCTGTTGTTTCGTGTCCTTCTTGGAGAGATTGCTCCATGTTTCATCCCCATGCCCTCGAAGTGTAGTGGCAGAGTGACTTTGGAGGGCTGACTTAGTAGCTTTCTGGATGGGAGAGCTCCACAAAAAGGGTCTCTGTGGGAAAGGTCCAAGGGGGATTGATGACGGTTTTCTTCGGAACAAGCCAACCAGGCAGAGACTGGGATGATGCGCTGCGCGCCTCAAGATTCGTTTTTGATCAATCTTGCGCGACTGCAAGAAGATGAGCGATTTGCTGTAGCTCTAAACTGAAACGAACCACATCCTTTTCCCTCGCGACGAAGAACAACTCACCACCAAGTCACCGAGAGGGCGCTCCCATCTCATCCCATCACAGCAATTCCTCAAACCATTGAAGGACCCTCGTATACTGCAATCTAAAATCTGCAATGCAACCAAAGCTCTTGAGAGGCTTGAGGATTCTTACTGTTGTTGGCCGCAACATCCAGCGATGGCACCAAAGCAGCCTGTCTGGGTAAAGAAGTGGCAGAAGCCACGAGCGACCATAGACCCTCCCAAGCGACGCCTTCATCCACTGAAGCAAAAGGAGCCAGTTGAGATGCCAGCAATCATGCTTTCTGATCGAAGGAACAGTTTAGTTTCAACATATCACACCGAGAGTCGGCAGAAGATTGTCCCTGTGTTTGGCAAAAGCCCGTCCTCATTGTCATCGTTTGCCGTCGTCATGCCCCAGCAACTCACAGAGTGATAGTTAGATTCGTTATAGAAGCGGGGGGTATATCTCCAATTTCTGTTCTTCTATTTTTGGAAGGCTTTCGGGGTAGTCGCAGCAATAGTCACCTCCGACTTGCTTTTGTGTTGCTTTCATTCTGCTTTGATTCTGCTTTGATTTGCTTTGATTCTGCTTTCATTTGCTTTCATCCTGCTTTCATTCTGCTTCTCTCATTTTGCTTTCATTTGCTTTCATTCTGCTGTCATTCACAAGAGAATGTTTAAACAGACATGTAAAGGAAAACATTCCAAAGCAAGCTAAGCAAGGAGCCACAATAGGGAGAGGGTCTATAGTTGTGGACCTCCCCTGTATTGTGGATCCTTAGCCTTAGCACTTGTAAGGGGTACTCTTTGCAAGACTGTTGAAATGAAGCTTTTCATAAGGGTTTTAATTGAACACCTATGGTTTTGGAAATTTGAATATTTGGGATTTTCCTTCATTCGGCGTTCATTGTTCTTTATGAGCTTATTGTCGCCTGCAGTGTTGTTGTCTGGAGTTTTATTTTTTGGAGCAAAATCTTATATATATATATATATATTATAAGTATGGATCCTGGCCACCAATATGCCTCCCAAACCCTAATTTTGGGGCGCAATATAGATTAAACTTGACTTTAATATTTAAGGATGACCTGCTTGATACGAATTAAACATTGCAGAGTCTACTTCGAGAGCATTGGGGTGAACAAGGACATCTATTGAAGGAAAGACAAGGGCTGTACAAAGGCCGACTGATTCAATCATTTGGTCTGAGTCACCGATGGTCCTGTAGGGCTACGAAGGTTTCGTGAGGTCAGAATTTCTTGACAATTTTGCTGTGAATTGACTTTCTTTGAATTGTCTCCATGTGTAGTTTCCTGGGAATTTGTCCATCGTTGCCACTCCAGGATCTCGAGCGAGTGGGTGCTCTTGACGACAACGGACATGTGCTGGTAGCCTTCAATACCCCGATGAACAGGCACCTGCTGCCTGTGCCTGATGTATCTCGGCAAACTGGAGCATCCTTAGCCAAACTTCTTGATCAACATTTCGCAGTGTATGACCTGGCCGGTTTTGCGATTCTAGACTTGGAGGAGGAACCGGTAGAGTTTCAGAATGGCGAAGCCAATCTCGAGCAGATTCCAGGTACCGACAAATATGTGCAGGTGAAGCGACAGCAGATTGTACTCCGAAAGGTGCCACCCAAGCGGAAATCCTTGGATGTTGATGATGACCAGCGAAGCCTTGGAGATTGGGGATTCGACCCGACGCATCATGCTATTCAAATCTATCCGGAGCAGGTAAAGTTATCCTTCATCTTGGAACAGGGCGGATACGATGCAGGCCCATCAGACAAAGCATCACCAGATAGCAATGTGCTTGTTCACTCGGTGACGACAGACTTGATGGACACTGTCAGACTTCGTGATGATCCCTTCGAGGATGATGACCCCCTGGAGGAAGATGCACAACATAGATCAGAAACTGCAGGATCTATTTTGGAGATGTACAAGAAGAGAGCTAAAGAAGTGACACATAGTCTGCAGCAGGCCATGGTCCAGGAACATATTCCTGCGATTCGTTCCTTCACTGCTGTGGCTGACGAGTTGTTGACCACCACCCTCGATGATGGAAGCAATGTTGTCCGAGGAGATGTGCGTTCCTCGCTTTCACAGAAGAAGCGCAAGGGGATGGAGGCCCTGAAGGTGTTTCACGAGTACAGCGAGTTGGAATTGAAAGATTGGCGCTATCGAAGGCAAGCCTTGCGGCTCCAGCATGTGACAAACACCTTTGACAATGATCAAAAAGCCGTCATATGCACCATGTTCAATGCTCTACACAAACATCGACAGTTTCACGGACTGGCTAGTCAGTATGGACCTGTGTGTGATGCACCTGCAGCATGGGAATCTGTGGATCGCATTCTTCGAAATGATGCACTTGCCGTGAAACGCGACAGGGTTGCATTTCTCCATTTAGCTATGTTCTTTTTGCTGCATCAAAATCAGGAGGCTGAGCTTTCCCCACTATACCGGTTTGCTGCTGACTGGGTATTTGCTCTGCAAGCCATGGGAGCATTCTTATTCAGCATCTATTTCGAAGAAGATGTAGCTGCTGGCCGGGCCATTTGTATTGAATCAGGTTTGCCGGTAGATCTTCGTCGAGATGACGAACAGTTTTTGTTATATTTCTATTTTGAACCTTCTGGACAAGCCCGGGTCACTTTACTGAATGATGTCCGAAACTGGTCTGGTGCTTTGCAACTGCGGGACTTGGAGCCACCAATCCGCATCCCTGGTTTTTGTCGACAAAGATGCTTCCATGTCGAGCAAGATTTGTATGATCCCTCTGACGTCCAAGTTCAAGGTGCCGCCTTTCTGTCCTTTACCATCTTAGACTTTGCAAAGGAATTCCATTGGCAGCGCCAGCAGCTTGGCTCTCTGATCTCAAAAACAGATGAAGAGATGGCTGAGTACTGGCTTGCTGGGCACAATGGTGCCTCGTCTGCAGGCTTGCTTCCAAACAGTGAAGCTTCACGCAAGTGGATAGTGCGTCTCGCGAACCGCAGGCAGCGCGCTCTCTTGGGGCGCTGGAACTTGGGCCTGCGTCATACAGAGGTTGCATATGCTTCGTCTCGGAAGCATGTAAGAATGACCAATGATCGATCAATTGATGCTGTGCAAGAACTCTGGGGAAGTAAAGGTTCGGAGGGAATCATGCCCATATCCCTGGAGCCTCCAAATGATGCGATGGACTGGGCATTGGAAGGCTTCTTGCAGCAATGTCTTCAAGATGGGAAGGATGACCTCGGACTAGAAGAGGAGGGCATTGCAGTCTTGGCTGTTTGCACAGAGGAGGAGCTGCTTGTTGAAGTTGCGCAGCAACGTCCTGAACTTGCCTGGCTTTTAGACCCCACGCTTCGACAGGAACAGGAACGACGCGCGGAAGAGATTCGATCCCATTGGAACCGCTTGGGCGTTGAAGGTCCATCAAGAAGATGGCTGAAACGGAAGCAGGAGACGGCTGCTCCTGCGCTAGAGGCTCCCGGCAAAGGTCCTTCTGCCAAGGACGAGGTCCAATCAATGCTCGAGGTGCTCTCTCAGAAGCGAATGAAGTTCCGCCGGGTCCTCCGAGGAGTGCGGCTGCTGCAGCGGTTGGAGCTTTTGTCCAGTGAGAAGCTACGGGTCTTGACGCATGGATCGCACATGGTTTTCCATGGACCTGGTGGGGCAGCAACATTGGTTCGAGAGCACAAAGGCAGTCCCGAAATGCCTGGATCTGTGTTTGTAGAGAAGATGGGCGCCATTGCAGCATGTTCCGGAGCCGATGGATACTAGCAGCATTTCGCAGTTCTTGATTTCAAAAGACGCAGCACATGGCCTGCTGGTGCGGTGTTTGGAATGTCGGCTTTGCACAATATGAGATTAGATGAGATTCGTGAGATTAGATTACATAAGCCGGTTCTGCTGCACAAATACCCGCTTGCATTTGAGCCAGTGCTGGGGTTCTACAAAGACATACTCTCAACAATAGGCCTCTGGGATAACATACTGAGAACAGATCGACATCCAACCAATCGGTGGTGCAGCAGCTGGGATTTCGAACGGTGTCCTGTGGATTCAGCTCCTGCTTTCTTCAACTGGTGGTGTTTCCAAAGAAGGCAGAGCTGCGGCTTCATGTAAAAGATAGCATACAAACGTATGGACACCACGCACGCCATGGCAAGAGCACCAATCAACAGCTTCAAGTGGATGACGTCATCTTGAGCCGCTCTGGCTTGGTCTATATCTATATATCTATCTATCTATCTATCTATCTATCTATATATTTTACTTTTTTACGTATACAGTATATGACTAGAGGACCTAGGCCTGGAGCTCAGAGCTCTGACTTCCGTTTTGATAGGAAGTTTGCCACAATCTGGGTGGTTGGTCCAAAATAGGGTCAGTCAGGCTCTCAGTGCCCAGCTGGGCTGATTCTCAGTGCTCTGAGGTCCAAGGCTGAGCCGGAAGAGGAGCCGGCTGGGGCTTGGTCCAGAGAGGGGCACTGAATGCAGTCCTCAGGCAGTGCCAGTGTCTATCAGTATCTATTTTGCTTCTGCATCCAGGGATTCTCACAAATTCTCTGTTTGCTTATCACACCCCTGCTCTCCTGCTGCGTGTCTATCTTCCCCCAGTTTGGAGACCACGCAGGACGACGAGTTTGCGCAGTTCTGCCGGGCCAACTTCCGAGCAAGTCAGGTACGTCCGGGTTTGTCGCGGGTCACAGCTGGGTGGACGATTGGGAGGGCTTCTAACCCAGCGGACGGGCAGAAGAAGAAGAAGAAGAAGACGAAGAAGAAGAAGAAGAAGAAGAGGAAGAAGAAGAAGAAGAAGGAGAGGAAGAAGAAGAGGAAGAGGAAGAGGAACAGGAAGACAGGAACAGGAACAGGAAGAGGAAGAGGAAGAGGAAGAGGAAGAGGAAGAGGAAGAGGAAGAGGAAGA